TTATATTTATTTTTATATTACTTATATGCTGACACACATATAAGTAACTGTATTTTATTAGAATCATAAATGTACAGTATGCCCCTATCTGAGGCATGTTCTACAACACTTCAAGAAAAGAAACAGTAAAAACCAGCAAAAGAAAGAAATTTTTTTTTTTCAATTCTGTAATGGAAATTAAGAGAATTTACCCTTCAAAAGTATCCTACAATGGTAGGAAAAGAACTCCAACTATTTAGTAAAGCTAAATAATAAAACAGTGCACTTGAACTAAGACTCAGATTAAAAAAATACATGAAAACCCCAGAACAAACCCCTCACCACTAAAAACAGGAAAAAAATAAAATTAATGAAGAGACAAGTTAGTGATCCACTAACAGTATTTCCTAGTCAAAATATTCACATCACATTCATCATAAGCTTTTGACATTCACATGCTGATAAATGAAGACTAGGTAATAAAAACAGGAGAGTCATTACTCAGTAATTTGCTTAAGATCAAGTAGAAAAATTTAGATGAAGGAAATGCAGATACTTATTCAAAGGAAAAAGGGCAAAAAATTAACCAAAACCAAGCCAAGAGGAGAAGCCAACTGAAACATGGAAATTTTACTGCTTTACTACATGGAAAAGGAAAAAGTTTGGTTGGGTTTCCCCTCTTTCCCACTCCACAGCCCAGAGAAAAAAAATAAATTTCCGTGCTACTCAAGTGGCCCTGGGTGCGATACAAAGCAATGCAAAACCCCTGGGTCAACAATTCCAACTCCCAAAGTTTAAAGTCTATACCAGCTGAAACATTCCTCTTAAAGGGAGACTTATCCTTCCCACAGAACTGATCAAACCAAGTGGAGAAATCAATAGTAGACAGTTACCTTGAGGTTCACTTTCTCTGGGTTCTTTTTTAAATTGTTTTGGTGGTCTAGGAGCTGTAACACACTTTACTGGAGAACTTTCTGGACTTGATTCCAAATGTAATCTAAAGTTCTAAGCAAAACAGAAAACATTAAATTAAAAAAATGTCCAAATTATCCAGTGCCTTTAAACTATTAACAAAAGCACACACTGAACTAAGTATTAACATCCAGAACACAGCATCAGTTTTATGTTAATTTAAGCAGACAAAATAAAACTGATTAGCTAGTCCATATTGAAATTTGGGGTATTAATTTTGAAAAAAATATTTTTCATTTTATATATATATGCTTGCAAAATATTTTCTATAAAACACAGTTGCCCTTAAAATCCTAAATTTTAGTAGAAACTCATTCAGATAAGGAAATGAGAGGCAAACAAATGTTCTCCTAAAACACCTTTGCAAAACAAAACAGCTACAGAAGCTGAAGCCATGAAGAAATGCCCATATGAATCCATACAACCTTTGGCCCCAGCACAAAATTTTACTGATCAACATTTAGTTGACGACAACGGAATCTAGGAGGATGGAATCAATTAATTTTTCACCCATCTATGACAACACAGCAGTAAATCACTAATACATTTGAAAATTTTAAGTTACTGTAAAAGAAAGTAATTGTTAAAACAATTCTGAGCATAGGATTCTCAGAAAATAGAACACATTTAGAACACCCTCCCACTGTAGACCATAATTAAAATACCTTACCTCATCTAGTCTTGGCTCACATAAATGTTTTGTCAAGTTAGGCAACAGACCATTTTCTGCACCTTTCCTTGTGGGCTGTTTTGTTTCTAATGTCACTTCTTTAGCTTCAGCTCTTTCAGATGATGGATCTGATTTCTCCTGCACACAAGTTGTACTTTCATTCTCAAAAAGTCTTGTTGACAGCTTGCCTTGTGCCTTTGAAAGCTCTGCTTCTGCCGCCATTTGACTTGCCTCTGAAACTTCAGGGAAATCTTTTAAAAAAGGAAGCTTAGGGACATTTGGAGAATTTGAGTTACTTTGCTTCACATTACTAGCTTTCAGCAATTTAATTTTGGTCCATTTGGAGTTTTTATTTGAGGAGTTATTTCTACCATTCAGAGTGCATTTGACAGGCATCGCTTTTTTGCTAGGGAAAAACCGTTTGCATTGAGTACTTTGACTGGGTTCTTTCTGAGTAAGCATTTCACTTTGCTGTAACTGTGTGTCATCATGCTTTTCTTCTGCTTTGCTATCCTCTGCATTAGGGGAATCTTTTTTCACTTCTACTGTATCTGACTCAATTTCACCTGCAATTTCTTCACAAAGTTCAAGGATGCTCACCCTTTTCAATTTTGCATCGCTCTCTGGTTGATCAGCCACATTTGTCTCACTTACAGATGGCTGTGAATTATTTTTTGGTTTTGTACTGGGTTTTATGTTCTGGTGTGTTTGCTGCTTTTCCTTAGATGCTGTAGAATTTGGCTTAAGAGAATCGGTTTCCGTTTTCTTTGTGTTGCTAGAATTAGGAGATACGGGGCCCGTCTGGTCTTTCTTGACTACCTCAAGATTCTCCTCAGGACCTGATGAGGACCCTTGAAGATTGTGTTGACAGCTACTGGAATTACCCTTTTTATTGTCTGCTTTACACTTTTTCTCTTTCAGAGAGCTGGTCACTTCTACACGTGAAGTATCTACATCTTTATCCTCATTTTTATAGTTTGGCTTTATCTTTGTGTTTTTCTGTTCCGTTTTCCCTCCAGCAGGTTTCAGTGTTTTTGCTGCAACACCACGAGCCTGTTTTTTTGCCTGGCTACTGTGCTTAACTTCAGAAACTTTTTCTTCTTTAACTTCTCTGCTGCGCAGGGATCTTGCTGGAACATGCACATGTGTTAACTGCTGCAGTCTCTGTGATCTCCTCATTACTGCTTCATTTGGTGCAATTACGCATTTTGATTTAGGAGTTTCTTGCACAGATTTTTTCTGGCATACCTCCTTATTTTTTGCAGATTTAGGCTGCTGCTGTTGGACTGTTTTGCCAGGTATTGTTTTATTATTTGAGCTGAGTGCTGACGATCTTGTAGTCATGCGTGTTCCTACTTCAGGTTCATTGCTGTTATCACTGAAAGAGTCAAACAGTATATTTTTCAGCATCCAAAAAGTAGAATCTGACACTTTTCATTCCTCCTCTGCCTCTTCCTTTTCTTTTTTAAAACACTAGATCTTATACTCTTAATATTTTTGGAAGAATTTGCTCCAGAATTATTCCAAAAAGGTGTTCACTTCCACCTAGTTACTCTGAAGTGTGGTAATTAATGTTTTTCATGCATGTCAAGACTCAGCTAGGAACCCCAGATGAATGCTTTGTAACAACTCTAGCAGTTTTTAATCATTGACACTTGTGACTTTCAAATGAAGCATACATATATATTTAGCTAATACTAGAATTATTTTTGTTTCAGGAACTTTTTTGAAGGAGGTCTTTCTAGATTGCTAGATAAGGCACTTTCATGGTTCCAGAGAAAAATCATGTAGCAGACAGAATACATAACAATTTAAGTCTGATCTCCCTTCTAGCACTAAGTACTATAAGTATACTTTAAGTATCTAGCTGCATCTTTAACTCAGATTCCCTCTGCTTAGACTGTTTCTGCATTAATGTACTCTATTAATATAATGTAGAATGATGTATTTTTTTTTCACTGACCTGTTTGGTTTGACAGAGGTTTTGAGTACAGTTTTCTCCTGCACTGCACACTGATTGGGCTTTGATTTATTTGAGCCATGTTTTGTATCTGACACCTCTTTTTCCTTCTTTGACAAAGACGGTTTGCTGTTCTTGTCCAGCTTTGGACGTTTAGCAGAAGGTTCTACTAACGTAGACTTCCTTTTCTGAGCTGCCATTTCTGAAAAAAAGCAAGCAACTCAGCTTTTAGACTCTTTGTCAAATATTGTAACTTTTCACTTTTGTATATTCACTTTTCCTTTTACAGCCAGATCATGCTGTGATCAGAAAGCAAATCATTAAAGCAATCTCAAATCAAATGACACTCATTTTACTTACAGGTTTTTACAAGAGGCAATCGATGTTTAGGCCAAAGTAACTTATCAAGGTGTGACAAGAGCATTCCTTATGCATATGCTTACAAACAGGATGTTTCATGCCACCTATGAAGAACAGAAAATGTACATGCAGTGAACACTTCATACTTCCTACTCAAGACTCTGAATTCCCACCCTCTTCCATCCCTTCAAACAATGCTTAGCTTTAAAGTTTCATTGATAGGGAGCTGAAAAAAAATAAACCAACAACCAACCAATGAAAAAGAGGAAAATTTTATTTTTTATTTCCATATCCAGCAATTTTTGGTACTTTGCTTTCTTAAGCACTACCCTTTCATCCTTCGAAAGTTGTCACGTAAAGTACAATTCAAAAAGAAGTTTCTCAGTCTTTCAGCATTTTCCAGAAAATAGTGCGCTGCTCTCTCTCAGAGACAGCAAAAAACATGGGACTGCTGTCAATTCTGTGCTTCACATCAGCAGGGAACAAATCCACTAGACTCAGTTACCAAGTTTTGTGGCTGCTACAACAGAACTTCAGACATCAGCAACCACCTACAACTGTTCCTTCCAATATGACTGAAGCTACAAATCAGAGTTGGAAAGCCTAGAAAGTAGTATTATTAGAGACATTTGCCTTGGGCAGTTAAAGACAACGTCTTCATGAGAAGTGAAATGATGTTAACAATGCAGAAGTTACTCTGCCCAGGAGTCTGAAAACCAACAGAGATTCTTGATAAAAAAATCTTCACAGATTTGGCTGATCATCCCTTTCATATACATTTCTGACTTGTGAAACTTTTCAGTTCCCTTATTCAAAGACACTGCTATTGCATTATGGCATAAGTAAAAATTGTTCAATGACGTTTCACTAATAACTTTATAAAAGTAAATCTACTGGAAGATTCAGTGGTCAGAACATCCACGTCACCTTTTTCAATCAAGAATTATCTATTAATTTTTGTCACTAACTTACAGATTATATATAGATTTCTATAAAACTACATTACTTTTAAACCTGAACTGATCTGATGCTAAATCTGACACATTTTTGAGGTCAAACAGGAACAAGTCACTGCTTGTGTAACACAGACCACTCACTTTCAGTTCATTACAACTAAAGTATGACTTCTAGTATTGACAAATGAATGCCTTTCCCTAAAAATACACTTTTAAGCTCCTTTTAATAACTGATCATTATACAAAAGGAAAAAGTACACAACTATACTTCTTCTTCTCTTTAGACTTTATATTGCCCTTAACCTCATTTTTATTTACCCACTTATGAAAGCATTTCTAACCATATAAAACTTGTAATTTTGTCAAAAAAAATGATTAAGAACTTAGATTCTGGACACCAGTGTTGTCTTTTGATCTTCTCCTCTAAAGAAGATACATAAATAACAATCCATATTTGAGGTATATTTTTTTAATTTTACCTAGGGAATAAATCTCTAACAGCATTTTTGGTGGTGTTACTTTCAAGTCTCTCCCCACGAAGCAGGTAACAGAATTTGTGTGCCTACACTCTAATAGCTCAGTAGCTCCATGACACCTCACAAGCCTATGGGTCAAAGAAAACCCTTCAGAGATGCAGTATGGTCGCTCATCCTGAAAATAACAGCCCTTGTTGCTGAATAGGTCTTTGGTTTCTTAGACACCGACCCTCAGAATCTGAGAATACCATGACACACACTGTATACATATACACCTGGACCTTCTTTGGTTTTTTTCCAGACGTGACATGGCACACTCGGGGAAGACTTTCAAGTCCAAAACAGCAAGTACGAAACTTCCCTCGCTGACACTCCTTCTCAGGCTACTAAAAAATACACTCCCCTCCCACAGAACTCTTCAACAGTATTTTCTTTCCTACTAATACTTCGTACAACAGAGCAAAGTCTTTCCCAGACATTCCAGAACTGGCAGTCTCTGCCCTGGAGAAGTCACCCTCTAGTAAAAGCCGGATTATGGAAAGCAGGGAAGACACGGAAGTGCAGGAACAAACTAGAACACGAGCAAAGGTTTAGTGCAAGAAGTACGGGGGGAAAAGAACCCGAAAACAAAACGGAGCAAACAAAAACCTCAAACCCGAAAACCCCAAACGAACAAGCGAACAAAACGGAGAAACGCGAGCCCCAGCGCTTCCAGTCCTTAGAGCAGGGGCTGAGGCTGGTTGCCCACCAGCTGAATAGGGCGCGGGGATCTCTAACCTGAGCCGTCCCGGCTGAGGGCCACGGCAGCTCCTGGCAGCCCCTACGGCACAACGGGGAGGGGAAGGGAAGGGAAGGGAAGGGAAGGGAAGGGAAGGGAAGGGAAGGGAAGGAAGTCACACTATTTGGAATGGTGAGGCAGTATGACACGGACTCTCTTGTGAGTTGAACAGGAGAGAGAAGTTTATTACCTCAGATCTTCTTTTATAGACCGATAAGTGAAAGTACAGAAAAGTAAAACTCTTTTTGGTTAATAAACTAACACATCACCATCACTGGTCAGTGGGGTTCACCACCCCTCGACCTTCTCCTGCAAGAAAACAAGAAACTGACAAACAGCACCTGCAAGGCTGTCTTCTATCTCTGAGGATTGTTTTAATTCCTCCTTAGGATTTCCCAGGCCACTTTCTCAGGCAAGACCGAGAAAGTTATGCTGCCTGTCTTCCACAGGCACAGTGCTCCCTGCTTGCTGCTTGCATTTAGCACCCATAGGAAGGGGATGGAAATGGGAGGTGACAAGGCATCAGTCTTGGAGTACCTGGCTGTTGTTCTGGAAGTGGAAAGTGAACAGTGGGAATACCATGAACTGTAAAGATGGCTCTCCTCTATCCATTTGAGATAGTCTAGAAGTATTTTAGAAGCCTAAACTTCAGAAACTTGAAGTGGGTCACAAATTGGTCTCCTTAGGACAAATCACTGGAACAGATCTGCAAGGATATTACATGGGTTAGGAGGAAAATGACAAGATATAAATCTCTTGAAGACAACCATTAGAGATAATTGAGAAATGGATGCTACAAGGAATGATGAACTCACAAGCTGATACTGAATTCACATTCATCTGTCTCATCAAGATCTATAATTATACAAAATTACAAATTAAGTGTACTTTCATTAGGCTCACACGTAAAAGGAAATGGCTTTTCTAATGATAGGAGTAAATCTGCACTGGGAGCCCCTCAGTGTCAGAGCCAAATATTTTCTGGCAGCTTAGAAGGGCCCCATTACCTTTCTAAGGTGAACACACTAAATTTGGAAGTACCTAAAGCATAACTAATTACACTGAAACCTCCCCTCAGCCTATCTCCTGTTTTGTCCCTGCTGCTGGGGCTCTTGTGTCTTATTTGAGAAGTTAATTAAGGCCATTGTTCTGAGACCACTTGTTTCACCTCTTGAGTTCAGTCTTGTGTAAAAACACAGAAGACTAAAATTTAAATAAATAAACGGGACTGTTCTGTCTCTGCATAATAATATTGTAATTCTCAGTAAAACACTTAATCTCCTATCCCCACAGTCCCATATTGCTTAGCCAAACAGTACAAAGTACATTTGGAGAAGAGAGAGAAACAAAAGTATTCCTCTGAGTTAACTGGATACTTTTCTTTGTGTGAAACAGGTGCAAGACTTTTATCTTGCCATGGGGCCAAATGCACCAAGTAACATTTAACACAGAACTAATTGCAGTCTGTTTGAGTTCCTGTTTGGTAGCTGCAGCCCAGTGGAAGCAGACATCCTTAGTGGGGAATCCTTTGGAAATCCCTTACGTGGGCCAGCCTGCTGTCTAAAATGGCACCAGGGCTGAGCTTGGCTGGATTGGCAGGGATGTGAAATCTTCATGTTGGAATGGGTGGAGTTAGGTAGCCTTCAAATACTCTTAAAACAGTTTTCCTTGGATTTTACTGTAAATCAATGGCAACTTTAGGAAAACTTCCATGTTGCAGAAACAAACATCTGAATCCAAAGTGACAGAGTTAATGAAGGCAACAACAACTTTGGGGCCTTGTCAGGAGCTTTGCCTTGTGTGTCCCCACAGACTGCAGTCGTGGAGGCCTATCCAGCAGGACAAGCTCTTCATGGAGAGCTATCCACTGGGACACCACACTTCATCTTTTAGCTGTATGCAGAGCATGAGGAAGGCTGAGAAAAAAATGCCTGAGTGAGTGCTGAGACTATTAAAGTATTGCTGAGAGAGATGGGAAGGTAAGAGATTGTAATTTTCCCTCTGTCTTCACCAGTCCAGATCTCATCCAAGATATCTAAGTCAATTTAAATATAACTAGAGTCTATAATGAATTA